ATCGCAACGACATAAATACAACTTTGATCGGAACTTAACTCTGAAACATTTTTGTATTGTCAATGAGAAGAAAAATGTCGGTTAAACAAACAATTTCGAAAATTGGGACGATTACCATTTTAATAATTTCTGCAATTAACATTCTCTTCCGTATGCATTTTACATTTTCTTCCGCATACTTTTTCTTCTATAAAATTCATTTCCTCGTGTATTGAAAAAAAGCATAAAAGAGAAACATTTATAAATGTGTCGTGCCATTATTCCCAAGTATAATAATTATGTTCCATAGAACAGAGAATAAAAGTATTTTGCATTTAGATAAGACTTTAAAAATGTACTTTTCCGTCTCTAAGTACGGAGTGATATCAATAATGGCAATTTAACATGAAATGCTTGTAACGACATTTCTTTTTATCTTAATAGGTATTTATAGATGTACGTCTTAATAGAGCTTAAATAAGACATTAAGTTTTTCCGGAGGCGATCAAATATTAAACTACATGGAAATTTTGTAATTTTCTAAAGAATGCAGTGTTTGTACTCATTTCATGAGGGGCGGTTTATAATTGACCCTTTAATTAGTTCAACCTTTTTCAAAGAGCAAGCAAATATATTGATTACCTTTTTACTGTAATTGCAAAAACTACAATCATAAACACATATAATTGTTTTGAAATGATTATCTTTAAGCAAAATATTAATCATGCATAACCAAACTTATCCACAGAATAAACATCACTATCAAACACATCGGATCTACAGCGTTTCATTCATGATGCGTTCAAAGTCCCGTTCAGCTATTTAAATACGTTTCAATCCTAATAGGGCCCGTAAGTCTCGTTTACTTTCACTTTCGATTTACCACTTACGGGTACATCGGCAGACTTATTTACCGTTACGCATATAGGTAACCCGAAGAACTCGAGGGATATAGAAGTTAAATTTGTTTCTGTCCTCTTCAGATTTGAAAGATTGGATAGCACGGGTCAAAAAATGCAGGTAGGTCAATTATCTGACGGAAAAACGAGGGATATATAAAACTAGTTTATTTTCGGATAGTGACAATTGTTTCGGATGTTTTGTCAAGGTAGTGAATTCTAGTTGTTTAGCTTTTAGTATTGTTTTAAAACTACTGATGTGCGAAATTAATTCAAACCATTTTAACTTATTGAAATAAACAATGGAGAAACACTTTAATTCTAGTGTATATTAAAGTTATACAAAATTCGGACATTGCACAGTAATTCGGATATTTTTTCCTTTACATTTTATTCTTGTTCCTTTTTCAATTATATATACATGTTAGTATGGTACCTAGCAAATAATTAATGAATTAAAAAATATAATATTTGATTAAACCATTTCAGATGTATAGACAAGGAGGTATATGACAAGTATAGAATATACAGTTGTTCAATATGGACCATTAATCAACTGTTTGCACTGCCTATGATCCTGAAATATCTATACATCAAAGGTAAATACATGTAATAAATGATTTATTTTTAGTTGAGATCGGAGAGATAAATAATTGTCAAAATATATATTATAATTTAATAACTTTTGGATTTCACTGCATGATAATTGATAAGTAAATAAAACATTAAAAATAGTCATGTTTCACATTCAAGAAGATCAATATTTTTGACTGTTATATATTATGTGTTGTTGTTTATCTTTAATGTTTATTTACTTCAAATATGAAATTTTTCTGTCAATCATGACCAGCTTATTAAATGTAATGTAAATATCATTTCTAGTGTCTTACACTTGTAACAACATATTTATTGATTTTTCATTCTGCAGATTAAAAGGGAAAAGATGAAGGAGGATTTGTCCATGAAGACCTTTATTGCAACTACCATCTTCCAGTTCCTTAATTTGAGAATGATATCAGAGAACACACAGTTACAGTGAAATATTAGTTTATTATAAGCCACTGAAAATAGTCAAATGTACTTTCCTGAAGAAGATGAATGACATCCAGCCTAAAAATCTTAATGTATAAAGAGTATGATTTTATGGTGTTTGACACTATGATCTTGTTAACATGTTAATGTCACAATGATAGAAACAGAGTAAAATATCCACATTTCATTGCAGTTTTAAGTATTAAAAAAACTAGATACTCTATATATACCAAAGCTGATAACACACCAGAGATAAGGTTTTTTTATGGAATCACAGTAGAGTCATATGACATTATGGACATTAAATGACTATGAAGTAAAGATTAGCAAAAATATTATATATCATCTACTACTAATATTGTGAGGTAATCATTGATAAGCTCACAAATTTGCAATCAAAGCTTTGATATCAAGCTGAACATTTTTCAATTAGAATATGATTTATAACTCTATGATAATTTGTTAATGTTAATTTTCAAAGTCTTTACATTTGTAAAAGGAAATACTCTTATTCATGTATCAGTAGACATTCACAGTGTAAAGTTACATTGTCCAAATAACTAATAATAATTCCAAGTGCTTTCCTGAGTTTTACTTCCACTGGAAAATCGGTGTGATGTATATGCTAAGCAGTGCACTATAAATTGTGTAAAAATAAAAGTTTATTAAACTTATGAACTGTTTTTTGTTTCTTCTATTTGGCATATATTTATAGCAGTGCTTGATCATAAGAGTTCATCTGCAAAATAAGTGTCACTGTGTACTTTAATTCTCTAACAGCAATGGCTAGATTGCTTGAATATGCAAGCATTGACTATATTAAATACTATGCATGTCATTTGAATTTTGTCTGTCCTGAAATCAAAACAGACACTATAACATGGTACACTTTTACATTAAGATTTTTGTGCTGTGTACTTTAATCATCTAACAGCAATGGCTAGATTGCTTGAATATGCAAGCATTGACTATAGTAAATACTGTGCATGTCATTAGAATTTTGTCTGTCCTGAAATCGAAACAGACAATATCTAAACAAGAGGGCCATGATGGCCCTGAGGTCGCTCACCTGTATATAGGCCCCCCCAACCCCCACCCCCCCCCCCAAACGTTGCAGGGCCAATTTAACCAAAGGGCTTTTATTTGCACAAACTTGGTAGACACCCATAAGAAGATGTTTCATGCTAAACATCTAAGCTCTAGCTCATTGGGCTATTTAAAAGAAGATTTTTTTTAAGTTTTTAACTATACACATATAGTTAAAAACAATGACACCCCTGGGGCCGGGCCAGTTATGACCCCAAGGTTTTTATTTGAACAAACTTTGTAGACACTTACTAGAATATGTTTCATGCTTAATATCTAAACTCTAGCTATTTGGGTTTTTTCAAAGAAGATTTTAAGTTTTTGCTATATACACATATAAGGAAAATCATGACCCCGGGGCGGGGGCCAATTTTGACCCCAGGTCTTTTATTTGAACAAACTTGGTAGACACTTCACTAAAAGATGTTTCATGCTTAATATCTTAACTCTAGCTATTTGGGTTTTTTCAAAAAAGATTTTTTAAGTTTTTTGCTATACAAATATAAGGAAAATCAATGACCCCCCCCGGGCGGGGCCAATTTTGACCCCAGGGTTTTTATTTGAAAAAAACTTGGTAGACACCTATTTAGAACATGTTTGATGCTAAAATATATCTTAACCATAGCTCTTTGAGTTCTTTAAAAGATGATTTTTTTAAGTTTTTACTATATGCATATATAGTGAAAATCAATGACCCCCCCGGGCGGGGTCAATTTTGACCCCTGGGCTTTTATTTGAACAAACTTGGTAGACACTTATTAGAACATGTTTCATGCTAAATATCTTAACTCTAACTCTTTTTGGTTCTTTATAAGAAGATTTTTTAAGTTTTTTACTATATGCATATAGGGAAAATCAATGACCCCCTGGGCGGGGCCAATTTTGACCCCCAGGGCTTTTCTTTGAACAAACTTGGTAGACACCTATTAGAACATGTTTGATGCTCAATATCTTAGCCATAGCTCTTTGAGTTCTTTAAAAGAAGATTTTTTAAGTTTTTACTATATGCATATAGGGAAAATCAATGACCCCCGGGGCGGGGTCAATTTTGAACCCCAGGGCTTTTATTTGAAACAAACTTGGTAGAGACACTCACTAGAAGATGTTTCATGCCAAATATCTAAGCTCTAGCTCTTATGGTTTTTTAAAAGAAGATATTTAAAGTTTTTTCTTTCGGTTGCCATGGCAACCAGAGTTCTGCATGGAATTAAATTCTTTGAACAATTTTTAAAGGTGACCACCAAAGGAACATTCCTGTGAAGTTTGGATGAAATTGGCCTTGTGGTTTATGAGGAGATGTCATTTAAAGTAAAAGTTTACGGACGACGGACGACGGACGCCGGACGAAAAGCGATCACAAAAGCTCACCCTGTCACTTTGTGACAGGTGAGCTAATAATATTGATGAAAAGGTCTTGACAGCTCTTCAATGACTACATTTACACATATAGTTAAAAGCATTGCATGTTTTTTTGAAACCTTGACAATTTTGAAACAGTCCCAATGGGTATATTAATGTATCAGTGAGCAGTGAAAGGCTATTACTGGAAGGAATTTTACATCTTGCCTCAGAAACACATTTTTTTCTTTGAGATGATTTTTATGATATCTAAATAATGGTTATAGATTACATTACTTTTACATTATTGCAGTGATCATGGTGAATGTATGAAATGAAACTCAATCAAGATAGAAACATTTTAATGCAGAATATTTATCCTTTTACCATTCTTGTCACCCTACAAGTCTATTTATAACAAATTTATCTTAACTGTTTTGAAACTACATGATACCTGGTTGAAACTGTTTTGGACAGCCATTTGCAGAAGATAAATTATCTTTGAATAATTAAATTAATACAAAGTTACAGATGACATGTTATTTATTTCTAACAAAAACAGATATTTTGTTTCACATTTATACACTGACATATATCTTTGAAGTTTCTTCAACCTTAGTTTTTTATTAGACTACACACATTCAGTCAGACAGTTTACACAAGACATTGAGCTTTAGGAAGCTTTAATTCAGTCAAAATATATAATGGACTGCCATGTTTCTACCACTATGTACTCCAAGACTGTGTATGGACATTTTCTTTCAACTATGTCTGGTGGAATCACTTTTTGGTTTCTAATCTGATGGTGAACACTTTAAAATAAACCAAGAGCCATGGCAAGTACTCAAGATCCAACCATGAAATCACGTACCTGCATATAAAGAAAATTTATCATGAGTTGAAAGCAATAATAATTGGTCAGCTGTAAATTTCAATCATTTTCATATTGTCATGAATAGAAAATAATGTTGAAAATGAAGAAACACTTCTTGGTGTCCTAGTTTTTGTAGATATGCTTAGACAACTGATCTTAAAAAATGTAAAAAGGACTAAGTTCTTTTAACCATTTACTGAACATGATTTAACTGAAAAATATGACCCACTTACTTCAGAAAAATACTTTAAACAGTTTATAACATGAATTAACTACATATGCCATACTGTTTGTTTATTTAGCTTCACTGTAATTATTTACAAAAACGAGAACAGGATGCTATACAAGAGAATATTTATTTTTCATTAATGTAATTTAAAATAGCTTTAAGTATATTTCTTACCAAAACGTTTTTACAGCAGAGCATGCTTGTGTATTTACATCGGATACTGACGTCTTTTATCTCGCCACTGTCCTCGGTCGAAATATCTACAGGAACAAAATATTTTATTGAATTTTATAACAATTGAAATTGGTTATATACAGCTTGACTGTTTGTGCTTTATACAGATAATAATAATAATTAATAATATTTACAGTTAGAAGAAAATATATTCAACTAAAACACACTGATAATCATATTGAAACGTTTTATCCGAAATATGCGCTGTCCGAAATTTCTAAACATTATATACTTCGAGAGATAATCAGGTAGCGCTATAGTAAATTGATAAAATCAAATTCACCAGTCTGAAGTCAGATATAAATGATGTTGTATCAAATAACAAATTCATTAGATTTACATGGAAATGAAAATATTACAACATTTATTGCGATAAACTGAGTTTGAAATGACACACCCACCTGAAGAGTATACGAAGTTGTCTTTCATTGATACATGTTCACAAGATGAAACCATTTGCTTGTCGTTACAAAAAAAACAACAATTTTTACATATCCTTCGCTTTTCCGTGTAAGTTTTACTTCCCCACTGGCATACAAGTATTACCCAATATAGATAAGCAATGCTGTTGATATTTGTTTGTACCCGGAAGTGCAAAATATCGTGAAATCTCGCAAGTCACATGACGAGACTTACATACCCTATTATAATATGAGTGTTAAGAAACAAATAGATGAGTTAATTTGGCACAAATAGTCACTATAATAAGACGATGTGTCATGCGCAACACCTTCATCCCTACCTACAAGGTCAAGGTCACACTTAGAGGTCAAACATTAACATAGTCTGTTATGGGGTATATTTTGTGTCCGATCTAGAACTTCTTCATAGTTCAAAACATTTTGAAATCACTTGGCACAAATTGTCACAATAAAAGGACGATATGTCAAGTACAACACCTGCATCCCTACCTCCAAGGTTAATGTCACACTTAGAGGTCAAAGGTTAACAGAGTCTGTTATATGCTATATTTTGTGTCCCGTCCATAGCGTCTTCAAAGATCAAGGGATTTTGAAAATACTTGACTCAAATAGTCACAATAATAACATGATATGTCATGCGTAACACCTATGTTCCTACCTCCGAAGTCAAGGTCACACTTATAGGTAAAAAATAATAAGACGATATGTCATGCTCAACACCTGCACCCCTACCTCGAAGGTCAAGGTCACACTTATCGGTGAAAGCTTAACATGATAGATTTTAGATTTTGTTTCGTTTCAAATTAAATTAATTGTTGCATTTGCAGATCTAGCATTGATCATAATTTTGGACTAAAAGTCCTGAAATCCATACCAAAATCTTTTGAAATAGCATAATTTTATGCCTTATATAACTTCCCTGAGGTAACTCTGTTTCAAATTTTTGTTAATCTAATATTTTTATTCGTATTAATTCTATAACATTTTTTCACAACTGGTGCAAAAAGATAACTATGTACTTAGTTAAACGTATATAAAGTGATGTACCTCTGACGAAATTGTTGTCATTTAATATGAAAAATTAAATATAATTATCTTCTTCACCCGATTGTCTATGTTTACATATTCTTACCGGTTATAAAATAGAAAATTCAAATCTATAATGATATTATCAGGGAAGTCATTAACATAATCTGAATATTTTATTTTCTCTTTAATTGAATGAAGAATAAAAAACGTCATATCCGTTTGGTGGCAAACTATTTCGTTCTGAAGCTTCTTCGAACTAAATAAACGCGCATGTAACACACAATTAGGTCGATTTGAAGAATTGATTTCCACTCAGAAACTATTTTGAATTTAATGAAGTAAATTAAAATCATTAGACACGACACCTCTGATGAATAAATTAAATAAATCTATTTATAACTGTACATTCATTGAAATGCTTCGAATATTGACCCTGACATTATAAAAATAGTATCAGGGATGGTTTACAGGATAAACCTGTTGTTTACCATTGAAGTAAATAATTTAGCGAAAATCTTCTCGCCCAAACAGTCCGACATGTAGAATCTATATATTCCTCTACTCGGTTTGTGTAGTATTCGGTAATCGACATCGCTAAAAATAGTATTTTCATTGATAAAATCATATTCATCCGCGTGTTCATTTATTGACAATTCTATTAGCCAAAGCTATTTTTAAACTTTGAATGCGTTGTTATTTGTTGGATACTTGTAACAAAATAAAAATATTTCTTTCTTTTAAATCGCTAGTTTTAAGCTGTTTTGAGAACTACTTGTTGTTAGGTTTGTTAGGTTTGTTGTGAACTTCTGTGTCAGAGATTGAATGTCCGCTTTGTATTTACTTATTTTCGATCAGAAAATACAATAAAACAATATTAGAAATCTTCGACCATTCGGGAATAATTTTGCTTGAAAATTAATTCGCCTGTCTTTGACCATCTTTACGCAGTGATCTCCCCTGAAATTTTCGGCGTTAGTGTACATATAAAGGAAAGTAACCGCTTCAAAAAAGTGGACTACTTTCGGCGTTTGCAATTAACAGCATTAGACTCTGAAATTTCGCTACCATTATTTGTTTGGTCTGACGACCCAAACAAATAAAAATAGCATTAACAAAAGTGGAGAGATAACGGAACATCAGTTGTTACTTTTTGCATTCAGTCAATGTCATATGCAATAAAGGCGAAACAGAAGGAGGCAAACAAATAACCTTTACATGTACATAAAGACATGTGATTACTGGACACCGCTCAATGAACATTAAGATTCATTCATGTTTTTAAAAAGAGAACAATAGAATCCCTAGAGAAAGCCCAACACGGCAAAAATTTTAAATGTTGCATGCTCGGTTTGATGGAGCCTGTTCATGGACACACTTACTTTTTATTCGGCTAAATAATGTCTAAGCCACTATTTTATTCGGCTAAATAATTTCTAAGCAAATATATTTAATTCAGGGAAAAATGAAAATTCGGTCACACTGTTGACAATTGGTGAAAGAGAAATATGAAATAAAAGCCATGTAAAACCACAAACTTATCTGACAAAACTTATCAAGATTATAAATTGAATATAATATATTTTGTTGCATCGTTTCATCTCAAAATTGAACATTCATGTTTTTCTATATCCCCAATATGATTGAATATTACAATAATAAAGATCAAGCAATTGAACAGATCAGCACGCTTCATTTCACCCTGTCATATTTAGAAGAAATTTGAATAGATCGTTTATAATTGCACGATTTGTCTTCCAATAATGTGTTATTGACCGCAACGGAGTCAATGCGTATTCATGCTTTGTTCCAATACAAATTTACAAGCAAAAGCTTCACACATCACATAACAGTGTTTTACACCTTTTGATATATCAGTGTTAATTCAAACTAGGATTCATCAACTTTGACGTAACAGAAGAAAATCAATATCCATACATCTGTTAACTAGTTTGATATTTATGGATTTGGACATCAGTTCTGCTCTATTGATACTCAAATGGTTAATTTTATAATCCAATACTATATATTATACTATATATCATCACTCGTCAGTAGGTCCCTTGTTGATTGCATTTGCTTTATTCCAATCTATTGAAAATACATTTTGATATTAAAAATGAATGTGTATCTTAAAAGATAATATAAGGATTTATAATTCAAGAAAAGTGTCTTCCTAACATCTTCAACATCTGAATATATTTGATTGATAAAGGCGTCATTAGTTTTACCCCCCCCCCCCCAAAAAAAAAAAAAAGATGTTCAAATGAATTAATTGAATATAGTAGGGTTTTTGTCATACACCGACACCAATTACAAATGTATCATTCGATTGTACCGTCTATTAAACGAAATAAAGGATTTACTTGAAACGGACAATAAATTGCAATGACCATCACAAATAGGATCACAACTAAATTATCTTGAAAACTAAACGTACGTAAAACCTATGCAAATCGACCAGATAGTAAAGAATTACGATTTATATAGTAATAAACACAATCGATAATACGATATCGGACCTGCTACTACAATAAACATTTTTAAATATTTAAAGCAACAATTAGAACATATATCTGAAATAAACATGCCCAGTCAAACGTAGCTTGCATACTTTACAAAGATTATCTGTTGGTATTCTGTAAACATTTCAAATCTAATTATGTTGAACAAAAAAGGCTAGATGTATATGACATACTAAAACATGTTGTATATGAACAGGAGCTCTAGTCGAAATAGGAATCCGAATCTTACCTTACAGGCTACGTTTCCTTGTTATCAAGTGGCAAATGGGATATATTATTTTAGTGCTCACTAAACACAGATATTATTTTGTATGACTAATAACATGAATGATGGAAGACGCAATTGAGTATTTTTTGTTGTTCATAAATGTTGTATTATAATGGTAATGGAAATGATTTTACGCCAAATTCAAGCATGTTTCATTATCAATTTTTCATTTATGTTTGAAACAAAAAACTATTTACATTTTTAGACAAAAACATGATGTCACATTTACATTTTCATTGTTATAAATGTACAAATATTCCTAAATCATTAACCATTGCTTCAATTCACCTTTTCATCGCATTATTTTATGACAAGCGTATTCATTCTTTTGAGCTTAATGGCAATAGGAAATGAACTTAATGATAAAAACAAGAAACATGATTTCATTTTTAAACGGAGACGAAACATGTCTATGATTTTTTGTTGATGTGAGCGAAAATTGGCATCATGAAGTACAGTTGAAAGAAACAATCACATGAAACACGCAAATTGATGTTCACCGTCTGAGCAGAGAATAATTAGAACTTTGGAAAGCAACTTAAAGAAATAAGACGCATCTGTTCGTATGACAATAGACAATAAAATGTTTCATGCAGATAATAAACGAAATAATACTCATTTACAAATTTTTATTATCTTATTGTACAAAATAAAGAGGCAGGCAAATACTGTCTGGGTCAGCAAAATGAGATATTTGCTCATCATATTCAGTCAATGTTAACGTTATTATATTCCCATTGTTGGAGGTTTAAAGTATACTTATTGTGAATTTTATTGTGTGATATTTGTGTCTTATACGACATCGTTCGGAAGAAATTTTGATAGTCAATCTTTTGAAATATAAAGTCTATTCAGCTCAATTTGACTATGAAAATATGAGCATAATGTCACTTTAAGTATGGTGAAACAAAACGTAAATGTTTGAAAGTTAATTCGTCACCTAAGAAGTAAAAGGTCGTAAGTGCATTTTTCATTATTTTCAGGAACAGAGTTTAAGGGTTTATACCTGTCTAAAAAAATCAGAACTTGAATTCAGAGAAAACCAATTATTCTTATGTTAGATGTTATTATATCATCTTTATTTTCTTTTATACAAACATACAAAATATCTAATCAATCAATCAATATCATCAATACTGTACATACGCCCATTTTCTCCTACTACTTTTTGCCAAAGACATTAGAATGAAAAGGTCGCATATGGCAAATATGACCTTATGCCGCCAAGGGATTTTAA